TGAACTTCTGATGATGCAACATGGGCTGAACCTGTAACCGTGGAACCTTGTAGAAAATACAAAGTACCACGCATGACACCTTTCAGAATCAGATTTGAACCCTTCCAGACCCGTAAAACTCCATCTTTTCGCGACCAGCTGAATCCCTTGCTGTCAAAAAGACTGAGAGATATCAGATTTTTCGTCATCAATGGAATGTGCCTGACCTTGTTCAATGTGAAAAAGCTACCGTCATGTGTCCTTATCTTGATCGAGCCTGTCCCAACCACCTTGCAGACAGAATTGTTGGCCATCGAGATGCTGCCTCCGTCTACCTGCTCATTAGTCGTGAACCACTCTCTCCTAGGACAGATGTGATAGGATGCCCCAGAATCGAGAACCCACACATCTGAATGATGAGTCTGCTCATCCGCAACTAGGGCAATGTCTTCTTCAGAATTGGTGTCTTCTTCAGCAACAACAGCAGAAACTGATTGTTTTTCCGATTGCTTCTTCTTCTTTGGACAATCAAATTTCCAATGTCCCTTCTCCTTGCAGTAATTACAAACATCATTCGGCTTTGCACCCTTTGACATCGGCTTATTTTTATTTCCGCCGTTTTTCCTTCCATTTCCGCTACTGGTGAACAGACCGGAAGGCTGTATGTCCGTACTTGTGCCGTTAGCCTTATGCCGTAATTCCCTGCTATGAAGGGCCAATCTGACTTCTTCCAATGACACAGTATCTTTCCCAACAATGAATGATTGAACAAAATTCTCAAACGACATTGGGAGAGATACTAACAGAATCAAGACAGCATCTTCATCCTCGATCTTCACATCGATATTACGCAATTCTAATAACAAAGTATTCAATTTCTCTAAATGTTCCCTGAGTTGTGTACCTTCATCCATTCGTAAACCGAATAGACGTTTTAGAAGCAGCTTGTTGGTTAGAGATTTTGTCATGTACAAACTCTCCAGCTTCAACCATAGACCAGCAACAGTCTCTTCATCTGAGACCTCCATGATGACGTCATCCGCGAGACACAGCATGATCGTCGAATGCGCCTTTTCCTCCAGAATCGTCATCTAAGGAGTAACGACGACGTTCTTATCTTTTGACAACAGTGCCCAGAAGCCTTGTTGTTTCAACAAATCCCGCATCTTGATCTGCCATAAACTGGAACTGTTCCTCCCTTTGAATTTGTCGATTTTCACGTTCAAAGCAGACATCTCGAATTCTCCAAGAACACCGATTAACCGAGAGGCTCTGATACCAATTTGTTATGCGGAATTTGATATAATACGAGAAAATATAAATGCGAAAAACAAGACAACAGATTTACGTGGTTCACCAATAAATTGGCTACGTCCACGGGAAGAGGGGGAGCAGTTTTATTATGGAGAGGCAAGAATAGAATTACAGAATAGGGTTTGTCATAGCGTCTATATATAGTGCTAAGCTACGCCCTAACAGGCTTGGGCCCAAAATACAGAATTGACAGATAATTAAGGGCCCAATTCAAGGCATTCAACACAGTCAAATAATGTAATAATTGAAGCGCATGAGACAAGGAAGATTAAAAAAAATAATGATATTGCCAATGAACGAGGAAATATATATGGTGCACCAAATTACCACCAAGCTTATTCCATAAGAAAGTGAGATAACGCTGAACTATATACTAACTCATCATAAATCTCAAGCCCAATGGTGGGGAACTGAGGATCAACCAAGGCTTGAGCGAGGGCATTATCGCTCAATCTAGAAACTCTCCCCCTGACTACGCTAGCAACAACAGAATAGTTATTGTGGATGTGGTTGTATTGGTGGTTTAAAATATGAGTGTGAGAATCATTTGATCCAATACTGCTGTTATCAACCGACATTGTAACAGAACCTCCAGCATTGCTCATCCCATAACTCTCCATAGACATGTTTGACCCCTCGCCAAGCTTATAGTAAAAGTTATGCGACAGGTTTTGATTCAAGTCTGTAAGTCCAACAGATTTTGGAGCCTCCATCATATTTTCTGATGAGGCAGCTACAGCAGAAAAGATTCAATCCGACTTATTTCTTTTGCACGGGGATTTCTAGAATCAAACCACACCTCCACAGACCCTGCAAAATATGAAAAATGTAAAAGGTTAGGTACATCAAAAATCAATTCTTCTACATAGACTGACAGGGTCATCTAGTTTCAACTCTTCTTTTTTATATAAACTTGGTGTCCGCAGCTTGCATGAACCTCGACTAATTCCACGAGATAATGTAACTTTCCACTCGCAACAAGAACCAAGCAACTCTATCTAACAAGGCTAGGACAGATGGAAAGAAATCACCTAATGTTTTTTTTCTTTGGGGTATTCAACCTGAGACCTCATGAATTTCACCCCTACATTTTTCTTCCAATTACAGAGAGTAAATTTCAAGTAACCAAAAGGTAACCATTCTTATCTACACCACAAAGATAAGAACGGTGACCTTTTGTTTTTCTTCCAAATATAGGGTTTTTTATTTCCAAAAATAAAACAAAACATCACCATAAGCCAAAAGAATCCAAACTATAAGCATAAACCAATATGATAAACTTCCCAAAACCATAGAAAATGAAAGAGATAAACAAATCCAAATTGAACTTTCACCCCTACATCTACATCTTTCTTCCAATAATGATAGAACAAAAGGTCATCATTCTAATCAGGGGCGGAGCCACCTTGGTATCGAACCCCCTTCGTCTACTCCTGTGTCTATTTTAATTAATTTTGAACCCCTTATTGAAAATCCTGGCTCCGCCACTGTTTCTGTTATGAGTTGGGAACCTTTACGTATACTCACACTAATATTTAACACCCATTTCCATATTTACAGTCCTTTTTTTAATCTCCTAATTTTTTTAATTTTTGTGTGTATTAGCCCATGGATTTGACATTCTGATCATCTGAAGTTTTTTTCAAAAAAAAAATTATGATGACCTCCGTAATTAGTTAGGAAACCTTAAAGTACACTCACACCATTGTTTAAATAATTATTATCGCATTACAAGCCCTTTTTGAAGAATCGTCCAAATTTCACAGTTTTTCGTCTGTAAAACCCATGGATCTGGCGTACGAAGCACACAAAAAAATTTCGTCAAATAAATTTATAAGGACCTCCTTAATGAGTTAGGGAACCTTCACGTATACTTACCCCATTTTTTTAACGCTCAATTTCATATTTACAAGCCTTTTTTTAATAATAGACAAAATTTCCCTATTTTCATGTGTAATCACCGTTTTCGCAAAACTTCTTTGGCCTATATCTCTCCTTAAACTCATTATAGCCAACTTATTGCACCTTTTCATTGGGGCATGCATCTGTGCATATTTTCTTCATATATCTGAATTATTTCAATCTCACTTTTCTCATTTTAGTTTTCACGAAGGTTGGTACGAAGGTCGGTCTCACTTTATTGTGAATAGCTTTATTTTTAATTATTTTATCTCTTCTACTATACTAAAACATCCACTCAAATATTGCTAACTATTGGGAATAACTTGCTAGTAAATAATTAATCTAGTACAAATTTTAGAATCATGTCTAACAACAGATTGTAAATAAAGCCTAATTTATAATTGCTACTCTATGATATTTATGTAAAATATTTTAATAATAGTGTTGATTAAGCAAATATGTACACACCTCAACTATTTCATTAGCTATTTGTCATCTTCGTGTAACTTTCTCCATCAAGGCTTCGATAAATGAAAAAAGGATTACATAATCTCTTATACTCATTTCACAATATAATCTCATATGCTCATTCACAATATAAATAGAAGAAAACGACTCTATCAAGATCTTACATGTTTTATTTCACATATTTTTGTATGTACTAGTCCCGAACACGTGCTTTGCACGTGAGTCCCACAAAAATATAATATGTTGTAAAAGTTACATTCAAATTACATTGTGATGAATTTCACAAATGATTTAACGAAAAAATATATAAATGAAATAAATGAACAATCAACCTTTTATAATGACTTTTTTGTCGTAAAATGTAAATGTCAAATAATAAAATATTTGTGTAACCTGTTAAATTTGGACAACAAAATTTAACGTAATAAATAATTTACATTTTGATGTTATTTGGTTGAAACCTACAATATATTAGTTTTTTATTTCTCTCTAAGAAAGGGACAATACAAACATAACATACCTTCTCAATTTGTACCAAAGTTTGAATAAACCTATGTACTTGTAACAAGTATATAAATTGTCTTCATATTATATTCACATGACATAGTGTGTTTATTCTTCTTTGTATCATGAACAAAAATTTCAATAGTTTGATCATGGTTATTTTTTTTTATATTTTTTAATTTTTTATCCTTTTTTTTCTTACTTTATTATTGTTTTCTCTAACATTACTATTTTGTATCCTTTGACTTAATTCTTGTCTTCCCCTTTCGTTTATATATGTTCCATCCATTTTGTTTTTGTTGTTTTGTTTTTTACATCTCACATTTTCATTCATAAAAAATAAATAAATAAAAAGATTATCTACAAACACAAAATAACTAAAAGTGAATTTTCTTTCACTTTTGATTGTAATTTATAAATGTGTAAAATTTATTTTAAAGGATTTACAATTCTTTTATATGAGTTCATGAAATGATATAAAATAATGAGATAATTTAACCTACATATTTCAAATCATGATTCATAAGTAAACATGCATACACATTTCAAGATGGTGAATACATGCGAAAATGCTCATAAATATGAAATATTAATTTAAGAAAATAGAAGCAACATATATTTGTTTGATTTAACTTACCGATAAAAGAGAGAATGGAAAAATAATTCTTGAGTGGCTTGACTCCATCTTTGCATTCACTGATTCACAAGTTATGCTTATCAAATAATCCATAAACATCCTCATATATATAATTGTTAACAATTACATTAAAGTCGACAATAATAATGTGAAATAAGTGTCATCAAGATATTTCTTCAATTCTAAAATGCTTGGACTTCCACTAAATAACTCTCTATCTTCCAATATCTTTAATACATAATAAAATGCACATTTGAATACCTTAAAATTGCTCCCATTTATATCTAGTTTTGTATTTAGTTATTAGAATATATTTTTTATTTCGTACATAAAAAGAGAATATTTAAATAAAGGACAAAATGGTAATTCAACTTTGAGGTTTGGAGCTTCACACTTATAATAATATATGATGATTACTAATCTCCTATGAAAAAAAGATTTTGCCAATTCAACATCTTTTGCCTCCAGTTTTCCTCTTTCTCTGTAGCCGTAGGACGAGGGCAACACCTGAAACGCGCCTTTCAAAATATCAGTCATGATTTCTGTCTCCCTACTGCCTCGAGCATCTTGTCCACTTGAATTCGAGCAACACCAAAGTCTGCAATCTTGATTGACTTGTCAGCAGCAATCAGTAGATTGTCGGATTTTTGATCTCGATGAATAAGATTCAGACCATGCACATTCTCCACATCCAAGACTAGCTAAACACCTAACTTCAATGGCACAACTTGGTTTTGCAGGAACTGACACACTGATCCCCCTCTTGTATATTCAGTCACAATACACGACACATTGGTTTTACGACATGCACCAATAAATCGTATAATATTTGGATGCTTTAAATTTGCCAACATCGCGACCTCATGCTGAAATTGTTGCTCCATAATGTGAGCCTTCGCAAGATCAAACATAGTGCAGGACGAGATAGCTGGCATGCACCTTGACTGATTCCGGGGGATACCTGTAACTTTCCTCCACCAACATGTACCAAACAACTCTTTACCAAGGCTACGATAGATGGGATATTAAACATTAATTAAAACACAGAATATTCATAAAAATGAACTATCAAAGGAAAAATCAAGGAAGAAAAAAAGTAAAAATTAATTATCTTGATTGTGATTATGACTCTACTTGTTTTTCGACGCCGATCAATTTTTCAGACTATTGGAGATCTGAAGAAAGATCGAAGTAAAAACTAAGAGAAGTAACACAAGAAAAAAAGAACACATAGAGAGAGTAATGTATGAGTACGATTTACATGTGTGAGTACAAGTTTATAGAGACTACTTGTATTAGAAATGTTCGTTAAATTTCATTTTGACCCTTGAATTATGGTTTATTTCAATTGAACATCCAAACACGTGAGATTGTGCTTTTATTATATATTTTTAGTTCAAATTGTAAAAGAAAAAAATTACTTTGTCATACAATAATAATTATTATAAATGTTCTTAACGCTCATTTTTATATTTTCAAGTCATTTTTTAAAGAATCACCCAAATTTTCTGACTTTTTTATGTATATTAGCACATCAAGAATTTGACGTCCAAATTACCTGAATTTTTATAAATAAAAAACTTTATGAGGACCTCTGTAATGAGTTGAGAACCTTTAAGTACACTAACACAATATTTTGAACACCCATTTTCGTATTTACAAGCTTTTTTTAAGAGTCGTTCAAATTCCACAATTTTTCGTGTGTATTAACTCATGATCTGGCATACGGAGAATTAAAATTTTCTTTCTCAAAAAACTTTATAAGGAACTCCTGAATGAGTAGAGGAACCTTCACATATACTCGCACCATTTTAAGGCTCATTTCCGCAATTTAAAGGCTCTTTTTAAAGGATCACCCAAATTCCCCTATTTTTCATGTGTATTATTAGCCCATGGATCTGACGCACAGAGTACCCAAAGTTATTTTATCAAAAAACATTATGAGGACCTCCGTAATGAGTTAGGTAACATTTACGTACACTCCCACAAACTTTTAGCACCAATTACGACATTTACATGCCCTTTTTTAAGAGTCGCCCAAATTTTCTGATTTTCGTGTGTATTAGCCCATATGATCTGACACCCAGAGAATTCAAAATTCCTTTCTCAAGACTTTATAAGACCTCCTTAATGAGTAGTAGAACCTTCACGTATACTCACACCACTTATTAGTGAATTTCTGCATCATTTTGTTTAGAAATATTCAGATTAAAAAAATTAATGAGTGTTATAGCACACGAAAATCGGTAAAATCTACCTTTGCCTTTTTTGGGACTTGTTTGAACTTGAAAATGC